GGAGGATAATGACTTACAACATTGTGATGGTTTCTGCCATACATCAACATGAATCAGCCATAGGTTCGCATATGTCCGCTCCCTCTTGAACCCCCCTCCCACTACTATTTTTTTTTTTTTTTTTTACTTTTTGGCCATGCTGTATGGCATGCGGGATCTTAGTTCCCCAACCAAGGATTGAACCCACATCCCTTGCACTGGAAGCATGCAGTCTTATCCGTAGGACCACCAGGGAATTCGCACTACTGTTTCTTGAGTTCACACCAAGCACTAGGCACTGTACTAGGCACTTATCCTGAGCTAAGGGGCTCCTACCTTCATCACCCTCATCAATGTTTAGTCTCATGGGCCATGGTTCTCAAAATGAGACCCCTGAACCGCGGTGTCAGTCACCCTGGAGCTTGCTAAAGATGAGATTCCTGACGAAGGAAAGGTGGCCGGAGACTCCCCAGGTGCTTCTCGGCGCTCACGTAGCTCAGAACCCCGTGGCTGCCCGGTCTTGGACACCCTCCTCTGTCCAGAGTACGGAGGTCTGATGTGGAGTGAATTGTCTCTACTCCTGGAAATTTCCACATTCGAGGTTGCTGTGTTTTCACCCTCTGGGCCTGGGCTACTTGCGGAGGACATGGAACATTGGACTCTGTTAATACTCCAACCAGCTGAACTACTTAGGCTTAATGGTTAACTGTTAAGCTTAACTTAAGGGCTGAATGATTTCTTCTTGCTTGTCAGTCCTAGGAAAGAAAGAGGCATGTTCCAGGGACAATGTACATGGTACTGGGCAAATTATATCACTTCTTTGACTCTCCAGAAGGGGCGCCATGATACCATTTTTTAATCTGAAAAAGCACCCTAACTGGTTCCTGACCGTAGTTACCTTTCCCCTCTAGAATGGAAGACCCTATAAGATCAGGAGCTTCTTTGTATCATCCAGGGTACCCATCTAACGCTGTGCAGTTAAGGGGATACCATTCATTTTATAGACATCATTGATTTGTAGTTATTAAAACAGTTCTCCACAGTGGCAGTTGAGTGACTTGAAAAGCCAAGTCTTACTAATTCATAACAAAGAAACCCATCTTGGTTTGGATGGGACAGGCATCCCCAAGGCTTAGAGTACTCAGCATATAGTGGGCACTCAGTAAAGTCTGCAAAATACTTTCCCTCAACATTTCAGTTATGAAACTGTGAGGGACTTCCCTGGTGGTCCAGTGGTTAAGAATCTGCCTTCCACTGCAGGGGATGTGGGTTCAATCCCTGGTTGGGGAACTAAGATCCCACATGCCACAGGGCAACTAAGCCCATGAGCCACAACTAAGGCCTGACACACACAAAAATAAATAAATACTAAGAAGAAGGAAAATGTCAAACATGCAGAAGAGTTGAAAGAATAGTACAATGAAGATCTATGTACCCAACCTGGACTCTAGATTCAGTAAATGTTAACATTTTGCTGTATTTGTTTTGTGTGTGTGTGTTTATTTATTTTTGCTGAATCATTTGAAAATTAGCTGCAAACATCATGACACTTAACTCATAAATATTTCAGCAGGCATCTCTTAAGAATGAGGACATTCTCCTATATAACCACCATATCATCACATCTAAGAGTAAATTAACCTTATTTCCCAACATCATCTAATACCCAGTTCTAGAAGTTGATGTTGTTACCTTTCTTACATCCCTTTGGCCTGCCTAGAGGTCACCTGCAAACAGTTCCCGTATGGCCAGTGACTTCCTGTCTGCCTGGACATTCACAACCAGACTAGGAGAGTGCACTGTACCTTTACAGAGTGGGTTGGAAGTGCTGGGGAGCCAACACCAAGAATGCCCCTTAACCAATGATGGAGAGAAGTTGGTGGATAAATACTCCTCTCCTTACATGAGTCAATTCTGAGGTGTGTTCCCTAGAGCTTGTCAAAGGGTCCATAACAACAGTTGACCACAGTAACCTGCTCATTAACACATCCTTTATTTGTTTTCTTTCCTTTCTCATCTCACTTCCATTCTGTGCTTCCTAAGATCATCTTTAAGTAAACTAATTGCATGTGAAGTTTTATCTTCAGGTCTGCTTTGGAGGGACCCAGACCAAGACATCAATCCTCTGTTAAGTTCTAAATGATAATAGTAAAACCCAGTGCCCTTAGATCTGTACAAAAACAAACTCAAAACCTGCTTCAAGACTTCCCTGGTGGTCCAGTGACTAAAGACTCAATGCTCCTAATGCAGGAGGCCCAGGTTCTCTCCCTGGTCAGGGAACTAGATCCAACATGCCACCACTAAAGATCTTGCATGCTGCAACTAAGACCTGGCACGGCCAAATAAATAAATTAAAAAAAATATATATATATATATATATATAAAACCTGCTTAGACAGTGCTTGCAACCCAGCCGACAGGAAATGCTCTTAGTTGTGATTCTTACTGAAACAATGCTACAGTGTGGCTATGTTTATTACGCCTTGCCCAGACTATTAATAATAATAATAGCTACTGCTTAATAAGAGCTTATTGTGTAGCTGCTTTGAATGCTTTATCTCATGTAATCCTCAAATGACCCTGTAGGGAGGACACTATTATTAATCACATCATATTGACAAAGAACCTAAGGCCCATAGAAGTAAAATAACTTTATAAAGTCACACAGCTAGGAAGCAGCAGGTCTCTGATGTTCTTAACCAATGTTTTAAAAATGTACAGATAACCATAAATAATTTTTTACTCTATTCTTGTATGAATGGGAACAACAACACCATAAACGAGTTTTGTTGTTTTTTTTAAATTTTCTGGCCATGCTGGGTCTTCATTGCTGCACTGGTTTTTCTCTAGTTGTGGCAAGTGGAGGCTACTCTTTAGTTGCAGTGTGCAGGCTTCTCTTTGCAGTGGCTTCTTTTGTTGCAGAGCACAGGTTCTAGGGCATGGGGCTTCAGTAGTTGTTAATATAGTTGTACTTTTTCTTCTGTTAGTTCCCTGTGCTAATTAAGACCAAGCATTTATGTAAAGTAATTAGCCTCCAACTAATAAAAATAAATGGAAAAAAAAAGTTCAAAATTCATCAAAAAAAAAAAAAAGACCAAGCATTTGAAAGTTACCATATGAAGGAAAATGAAGCCAATACACCACTGATGAAGATAATATTCAATATTCTATCAGGAGGCAAAAGTTTTCACCAGCCCTTCTTATTCCTAATGTGGAGACAATTTCCATATTGTCTCTGAGTACTAAGAACTCAAACGAATGTCATTCCAGTTCTGGTGGTTCTAATTGTAACTTTTATTTAAATCCTGATTTTCTGCCCCACAGCTTGATTTCTGATTGGCTGGACCTGATTGCTTTCAGACCTGATCAGATTTTATTTGTAAGCCCTTGGAAACTTGCATGGATGAACCTTCTCTGAGTTTAAAAGGAAATCCTCCTAATATCTAGCTTTCCATGTCAACTGGAACATAAGAACCACTAGAGGTTCTTTAAGAAAGGGATTAATTTGGGAGTATTAATTACCAAATTATTATAGCCTATGTATAAGTTAGTCATGAAGGTGTATTTCTAGATTTAAAGCTGTTTCTAAGATGAATACATTTCTTTTTAATTTTAGCATATGCAGCATTTCGTCTTTTATTGTTTTTCTCTACGCCTGCAGCCAGCTAGTATGACTAGCGTAAAAGACATATTACTGTAAAAATGCCTTTGCTAATGGAAATTGAGCAAGTTACTTTACCTGTTTCTCTGCAAAATCTTTCCTTGTTTTGGGGAGGGGTGATTTCAAGAGTTAAATGAGATAAACAGATTATCTCATAAAAAACCTGGAGTCTTTTAGACATAAATGTTGTAATTACTATTTATCTAAATATTTAAACACCTTTTGTCTTCCAGACAACAATGAACTAGCTTGCACAGAATAAAATTAAATTTAAATTGTTATTTTATGTGTGGCCCTATTTATGCTTTTAAATGATCTGCGGACTGAGTTCATGATCCTTGCTGTGGGTTCTCCATCACCAGCATAAATGTCCTTCAGCCTTGCTTGTTTCCAGCTCAAAGGCTTTTGGAAAAATATTATTAACCCTACTCAACAGGACAATAAAGCAACAATATCTAAGATCCCACTAAAACTAAACCATCTTAAACTGCCCTCAATGTAAGCAAAAAGAGATAATACTGCTATGAGTCTCTCTGGAGACAGAGGTGGATATTTTAGGATGATTTTTTTTTTAATACAACAAAAATTTGATTTTTATTCACTTAATATTTTTACAATAAACTTTAAAAAATAAAACTTCAAGAAATTTGACTATAATACTATCATATCAGAGATGTTCAAATAGCCTTTGGGAAAGCTGTTTTTCCTACTCAATCATTATGATTATCTGTCAATGGAAATAACTGAATAAATATTCAGTTATAATAAATATGGAAACATACATATTTTTAACCAATTAAAAAATGTTATCTTCAAACAGCTAATTCTTGGAAGTGTAAAGCAAGGATTCCCAGTCAGTTGAGAGCCTCAGAGGGATAAGACTTTCCTGGCCATAGCTGCTTCAGTATGGCTTGTACTTACATTGCCAAGGGTAAGTAATATTTTTCCAGCATTACTTAAGTTGAGTGGAATCTTCAAATGTTTTAGCTATTGTGGAAATGAAACCTCCCTTTGGACTTGCTCCATTACAATTCTGAAGTTGTCAGATTATCAAGTACAGCCACCTAACTTTGAGCATGACAGCATCAATGAGATGTGCTACACATTTTTGCACAAGGTCAGGCTTTCTTGGAACAGTTACATCCCTGTTAGTAATATCTGGCCCCACCCAGTAATGTAAGTACACAGAAGAACTTAGATCTCAAAAAGATGCCTTTCCAATTACTGTCTTCTCTAAGAACCCACAAAGAGAAATAGACTTTGAACCCAATGTATCTGATTTACTGGACCCTACTGTCATAAAGTGTTCGAATTCAAGTATTATAAACATGGCAACAGGAAAAGAGGTCAGGGTTCCCAGATGGAAGAACGACTGGCCACGGAAGTCAGTTTTTCAGAGCTCAGCAGGTAAGTGGTAAGACTTTGCCTTGTATAGAAAGTAGAGTGTCATGAAAATTAAAATTAAAAACAAGTCAAGTGGGGGAAATTCATTTTGAAAAGTTGCTGTCTTAATGGGGCAGGAGGGAGAGGGAGACATCAGTCTTCTTCCTTAAAAGGGTAGAATGAAGTCTTCCCAGAAGCTCACACTCTTAGTTTTTATTAAGTACCTATAGTGGGTAGTGCTTGAGAAAACTCTATTAATGACCAGATTCTGAGATCACTGTTAAGAGTGCTGTGATAGAAATCTTACTGGAAAAAATTTTAAATGACAAAAGAATCAATATTAGTTCTAATATCATCTTACTGAAAGATTGATGCAAGCTTGCCAGCTTGAACCTGGCAGGAAAGAAACTTGCTCCTGTCAGGACAGGCCCGGGATGGGGAGGAGCAGAGCCAGCCCCCAAGTGTCATAGGTACGTTCCAGTTCTTGAAGGTTAATATTTGTGTAAAGAGAACAAAACTCCAAGTTGCTAAGGCCCATGGAGTGGCTAGGGACCAGAAAGGATTAACAGGAGCCTCTTTTTATTTTTATTTTCTGGCCACACAGCATGTGGGATCATAGCTCCCCAAGCGGGAATTTAACCTGTGCCCGCCCCCCCGCCCCCACCAACATTGGAAGCACAGAGTCTTAACCACTAGATAGCCAGGGAAGACCCAACAGCAATTTCTTTGATTTAAAAAAAATTTTTTTAGTTTGAGGATAATTGCTTTAAAATGTTGTGTTGGTTTCTGCCATACAACAACATGAATCAGCCATCAGTATACCTATATCCCCTCCCTTTTGAATCTCCATCCCCCTCCTGTAGCTTGTCACAGAGCATTACGTTGAGCTCCCTGTGTTATACAACAACTTCCCACTAGCTATCTATTTTACATATGGCAATGTATATGTTTCAATGCTACTCTCTCAATTTGTCCCACCCTCTGCTCTGCCTTTAAGGAAGAAAATATTCACATTGGCATCAGAGTCGTTAAGAACATTGCCTTAGGAGTCCTGGATTAGAATCTTCACCCTAATATTTACAGATGATATAATTTTACCAAATGTCAAGTTATATGATCTCTCCAGACCTTTAGAAATGACCTCAAACAGGTTGTTAGGGGCTTAACTGAGATCGAAACACTGAAATAAATGAATGTAAAGTGTTTAGCACAATGTTTGTTGCTTAGAAAACATTCCATGTGTGTTGCTACTGTATTTTTAGTGGTCCTCTTGAAAGGAAGTAATAAATACATGTTTCTCCCAGATGGAAGCAGGGAGTATCTTTAGGCGAGGGATGACAGCAGCAAAAACGCAGAAGGGGGAAAAGAGAACTTCGTTACTTATTATTTTTAGCCTATACTGGGTCAAGAGGGAGGAATGTTAAGACAGAGTGGAAGGAAGCAGGAAAACAGATGAATGTGGTTTAATTCAAGCTATGTCAGAATTTAGTGTCTTCTAAGGCACAAACCATTTGAATCTATGGGATTTAGAAAGTCTCAAAAACCCTCTATTAGCAGAGAGCAACTTTACCAAGAACGAGTCAAGAAAGACTTTCAAGATCAGAATTACTTTGTGCAGTAGGGGCTATCTGAGAAGAAAGTAAATTTCATTTCTCTTTGTGTTAAAATGACATTCTGACAGGAGAGGGTGAGATGTATGGAAAGAGTAACATGGAAACTTCTATTCCCATATGTAAAATAGATAGTCAACGGGAATTTGCTCTATGGCTCAGGAAACTCAAACAGGGCCTCTGTATCAATCTAAAGGGATGGGATGAGGAGGCAGATGAGAGGGGGATTCAAAAGGGAGGGGATATATGCATACCTATGGCTGATTCATGTTAAGGTTTCACAGAAAACAACAAAATTCTGTAAAGCAATTATTCTTCAATAAAAAAAATAAATAATTTATTTAAAAAAGACATTCTATCTAGGGAAGACTAATTTTACCTTCCCCAGGGCTTGCTCTGTAGCTGCCCTCTCTCCCATAGCCTATTTCCTTGTGGTTTCCTTTTTTTTTTTTTTTTGCTGTCTTAAAAAAAAAAAAACCCTGAATACTAGAAGTACTTTGAACAGGATTGTTTAATTAAAAACTAGAAATAGTACCGTTATAACTGGAATGACTCATCTGGGACTTTTTATTTTAAATATATAATAGACAAGAGGAAGGTTCATAAGCTCAGCGTAGACCAAAGTGCAGAACCAACTGCTGCCTTTTTCCCCTGGCAGATCAGACTTAAATTCATTAAAGATGGCACAGAAGACCAGCAGCCTAATACAAAGATGCAGATTTCTTCTCTTAATGATTCTATTTCTGCCACATGTGATGACAAGTAAGTTAATATTCTTTGGGGCCTCTATTTAAATAAATAAAATTTCAGATTATAAAATGATCAAGGGAATTGGGAAAAGAGAAAATCCAAACTGGAAAGATTACACAGATGGTATGGTTCAGAGTATAGAAGTCAGATAAAATAGTGAACAATTAAATGGAAAAATGTTTTTATGGTTCTAACAGTAGAAGACTGGGTGAAATACTTTCTTCTCTTCAGAGCCACAGCCAGAATTTTCCTACATTTTAGTGTATTTCATTATTAATCATATTTGGGCTTCCCGGGTGGCTCAGCTGGTAAGAATCCGCCCGCAAGGCGGGAGACCTGGATTTGATCCCTGGGTTGGGAAGATCCCCTGGAGAAGGGAACAGCTACCCACTCCAGTATTCTGGTCTGGAGAAACGTATGGACTGTATACTCCATGGGGTCGCAAAGAGTAGGACACGACTGAGTGACTTTCACTTTCTTTCACTAATCTTATTTAAAATAAACCTCTGCTGTTTATTTGAGCATACCACTTACATGAAAATCTTTTCTGCATTTGTTCCCCACCCCAACCTGAAAGAAACCTTTTCCTTCCTGATTTAAAAAGCAATAAACAGACATTGTAACATAAGTTAGGAAATATAGAGAAGAATAAAGAAAAGTAAAATCCCATCATTAAGAGATAACTACTCAGTGTTTTGATGTGTATTCTTCCAGGTTTTATATATATGAAAGAGAGTGTGTATGTATAAATGGGATAATTCCATACACATTGTTTTCTAACCCAGTGGTTCTCAAACTTCACTGCATATTAGAATCACCTGGAAACTTTTTAAAACCCCAATGCCCAGGTTACACTAATATTAAGTAATCAGAATGTCTAGGGGTGGGAGCTAGGCAGATGATTCCCATGTGCAGCAACATTTGGTAACCATCATTTCAACCTTTTATTTTTTAAATTAATAGTTCATTATCAATCTTTTCATTGTAAAACCACATAGGTCAATATGGCTATTTTTAATTGTTGCAGAGCATTTCATTGTACTGATGTAACAGAATTTATTTAGCCAATTCTCTAACGATGGCCATTTAGATTGTTCACTCTATCTTAATAGTCTCTTCCTGCACTCCCAGGTTCTTTTTTAAGTGTGAATGGTAAAACTGAAAACTATATTCTGGACACTGAGCCTGGCCTCCAAGAGTCTCTGAAATGTGCTGTTCAAAACCACACCCGAGATGAAGAGCTTCTCTGGTACCGCGAAGATGGGAGAGTGGATTTGAAGTCTGGAAACAAAATCAACTCCAGCTCTGTCTGTGTCTCAGGCATCAGTGAAAATGACAATGGCATCACCTTTACCTGCAAGTTGCAGAGGAATCAGTCGATGTCCATCTCAGTGGTGCTGAATGTCACTTGTGAGTGAGGGGAAAGAGACGGCTAATCAGCCTGTGCGGTCTGTACTACACTAAGTAGTAGATGCAGCTTCCTTCTAAAGAGTATGTGCATGTAGATAAATATATTGGCTGCACTGGTCTTTGTTGCAGTGCATGGGCTTTCTCTAGTTGCAGTGCATGCACTCTAGAGTGTGGGCTCAGTAGCTGCCGGCTCATGGGCTTTGTTTCCCCATGGCATGTGAGATCTTAGTTCCCTGATCAAGAATCAAACCCGAGTGCCCTGCTTTGGGAGGTGGATTCTCAACTGCTCAACCACCAGGGAAGACCCTAAGAGTATGCGTATTTTAACATTTGCTTGATACTGCTGAACTGCCCTATTTATGACCCCACAACAGCGTGGGAGGGTACCTATTCCCCATACTGTCATGAGCCTGAGCATCCTCAAAATCTAAGAATCTGCCAGTCTGATTTGAAATTTTACTTTCATATTCTAAATTAAAAATGAGGGTGTTGATCTTTTCATAAATGCATTAGGTTTTCATGTCTCTTTCCTATGAAATGCCTGTTAATGTATTCTACCCATGTTTCTATTTGGTTATTTACCTTTTTCTTACTGATTTGTTTAAGGGCTTTGTATTGGATTGGCCAAAAGTTTCGTTTGGGTTTTTTGGTAAGATGTTGGCGAAACATTTTGGCCAATCCAATACATTAAGGAAATTAGCCATTTTTATTTTGAATTAATTACAAGCATTTCTTCTATTTATTTGGGGCATTTAAAAATACTTTTTTTGCTATATTGAAATTTTAAATGTTTACATATTTAAAATTACCAATATTTTCCTTTGTGGTTTCTAGTGTTTGCATTCTACTTAGAAAAATATCTGTTGGGGATCTTTTAGCATCACCTTAAACTCTCAAAGATGAAACTCTTTGATGGTTGGGTTACAGGTATTGGTAACCCATTGGTGGAACTATCTGAGGTTGGGGTCCTTTGAATATGTTCATGGAGGTGAGCATTTAGGTAGTTTGGGTGGAAAACTGGATCTATATGAGGCAGGTGTGGCTGGTGTGGTGAGGGGTGATGTGAGTAAGGGTAATAACATGGCATGGTCTGGTAGGAAAAGCTCTGGACATGGAACCTGGTAATAAAAAGTCAAAGCCATCTGATCCCATGAGCTCAGCAAACTTTTCTGTGAAAAATTGATGCCATTGCTCCCGAGGTAAAAGGGTGGAGAAAATGACAAGGAATTCAGGTCCAGAATCTGCTGGCATCCTGAAGTTTTCAGAATGAATCACTTACATGTTCCTGGGCAAAAGAGCCTTTATTTCCTATGAATATAGGAAATAAACTCTGATTTTTTCTTTCACCATGTAGGATCTTAGTTTCCTGGCCAGGGATCAAACCTGCTCCCCCTGTATTGGGAGCACAGTCTTAACCACTGGATTACCAGGGAAGTCCCAATAAGTGATTTTTAGTCCCAATTAATAAGTCCCAATGTGATTTTTAATTAAGCTATCCCTTGGCAACTTTGTTAGAATCCGAGACTATCAGGATTACCTTGGAAGTTTTAAAATCCTTATAAAATGACAGATGAGGAAACTGAGGCCCAGAATGAGAGCCCTAATCTGGAGATCACATCTGGGGCTGAGAACAGAACACAAAATCCCCAGTCTCCTAATCCAGTGCTCTTCCCATTGTACCTTCTAAATAGAGACACAATAGAAGTGCTGATATATGATCCAGTGGCTTAAAGAAATGATTTTCAGTTTTCCAGCCTGATTCTGTATTTAATATTATTTTTATAATAACCTCTTAAATATTGTTGCACATATATAAAAAAAATTGGTCAGTGATTCATAGTGACAATAACTGACATAAACTCATCAATCAATAAATCAAAATGAGGTCATAAAGTGGCAAGAATATCATGTACAATCTTGAGGAAATATTATGGATTATTGCTCTAAATGGCAGATTGAGAACTAAATGGAAGCTTCATAATACACTATTTGGTGGAGAATGTTCAGAAGCTTCTTTTATGTGTTATTGCTGAATAAATTGAGACCACCTCTTTTGCAATATCCATCAAAATTTAAAGTGCACCTGCCCTAACTCCCAGCAGATCTGCTTTGAGATGTTAACCCTGGAGAAATACATGCACATATGCACAAAAAAACATAGGCAAGGATGATTACTGAGGCATTGTTTAGCATTTTTAAAATGAGAATAACCTGATGCCCATCAAAATAAAATGAGTAAAGAGTCAGATATTATACTCTAGCACTGTCAGAGCAATGGGCTAGAACTCTGTGGTTCAATATGAATATCTCTCAAAGTATGCAAGTTATTGAGAGAATGAAGCTTTTTGTGTAAATCCTTCTCACCATCCTAAACCAATACATTTTCCTATGGGTATAACATATGTATTTTTAAAACAATATTTGAAAGAAAATCTGCAAGCATTTACATTAAAACTCGTAGCACTGGGTATCTTTGGGGGGTCAGGAAGTGGCCAGGATGGAATCAAGGAGGACCTTAGCTTTATCTGAAATGTACTAATAATTTTAAAAGGGAACATGCATGTAGAGCTGATGTGCTGTAAAATTCATTTTAAATAGTTAAATAAAAAGGAACAACTAATAGGACCTGTTCATAAGTGGAACTGGTATAGTTGGCCATCATGTTCTCTATTCTCACAGCTTCCTACAATCTGAATACCATATAACATCCTTGTTGGACATGGATACAGAATTCAAGCACATTCCAAAGAGCAACAAAATGTCATTCTTCTGAGAGAGTTATTAATAACACAGCCTACTTAGGGTCTAATTATTCAGTGTGCAGATTATACAAGCTCCTTTTTTCCCTCCTTCTCTGCCTCTATCTCTTTCCTACTGCCCACTTTTCGTGCATTTTTTATTGGGGTATAATTGCTTTACAGTGTTGTTAATTTCTGCTGTACAGTGAAGTGAATTAGCTATATGTATACTTACATCCCCTCCCTGTTGGGTCTCCCTCCCACCCCATCCTCTATCCCACCCCCCAGGTCATCACAGAGCACAGAGTTGAGCTCCTGGTGCCACACAGCAGGTTCCCACCTGTTACCTATTTCACACATGGTAGTGTGTATCTGTCAATCCTAATCTCCCAGTTCATCCCACCCTCCTCTTCCCATCCTTTGTCCACATGTCCCTTATCCACATCTTCATCTCTGTTCCTGCCCTGAAAAGCTTTTAAACAGCAAAGGAACCCAGAAATGAGAAAAAAAGACAACACTCAGAATGGGAGTAAGTATTTACAAATAAAGCAACTGACGATTAATCTCCAAACAGCTCATGGAGCTCAATATCAACAAAACAAACAGGTCAATCAAAAAATGGGGGGAAGACCTAAATAGACAACTCTCTGAAGAAGACATACAAATGGCCAAGAAGCACATGAAAAAGAAGGTGTCCAACATCACTAATTACTAGAGAAATGCAAGTCAAAACTACAATGAGGTATTACCTCACACAGGTCAGAATGGCCATCATCAAAATATCTACAATGAATGCTAGAGAGGGTGTGGAGAAAAGGGAACCCACTTTCACAGTTGATGGGAATGTAAATTGATACAGTCACTATGGAGAACATATGGAGTTTCCTTAAAAAAACTGAAAATAGAGCTACCATATGACCCAGCAATCCCACCACTTTTCATGCATTTTATTACTCTTCTGTACCTTGGCCAAAAAAACATGCAAGGGGCATGGAGAAGAGGGGAGACTCAGCTTGGCCATTTCTCCCTCTAAATTTTGAAAAACACTGGTGGGAGTAAGGGTTGGAATTATTTGGTGAAGAAAAATGTATTTGACACATGGGTCTGCAGATGTCCTTATCATGAAGGGAATAAGAAGTTGCTTACAGGGAACTCCCTGGTTGGGAAGCTAAGATCCCACATGCCTTGTGGCCAAAAAACCAAAACATAAGACAGAAGCATTATTGTAACTGATTCAATAAAGACTTGAAAAAAAAAAAAAAAAAGAAGTCATTCACACAGAGGAATGAGAGTGGCTCAAGGTCACGCTCACCTTTCATGGATGCCAGAGTTGCCACAACTGGAGTGCCTTCTGAGAGAAGGACATTATTTCTGGAAGATCATTGTGGAAATGCAAATATGCATTGGTAAATCTGTGGTCAGGGCAAGTGTGATTACATACAACGCAAAAACAGAGGGTGTGAGGAGCCCTCAAACCACCCCACCTCTACCACCACCACAATAATAATAGTAACTAGCATTGCGGTAAATTCTTCACAGGCATTCTGTCCTTTCATCTTCACAGCAATTCGTAAGGTGTTATCCCACTTTTTAGATGAGAAAACTAAGCAGTTACTTTACAGTTAAGTAGCTTTCTCTAGGTCACAGTAAGTAATGTAGGTAGTAGAACTGGGGCTCACTGCAGCGCCTGCTTTCTTAGCATTATACTGTTTTATCCCAAAGTAACACAGATTGGCTTTTAATATTAGTTCTCAGCAAAGTCTCAAGGCTTTGTAACACATGCTTCCATGCGTTACAAATCATCTACTTGACAGAGATTCATGTTTATATACATTTGTTTCATGGTTTATCTTCCCCACCACATTAAAAGCTCTTTTAAGTTTGAAAATGGATGTATGCAACTTCCCTGGCCAACCAGTGGTAAAGACTCCGTGCTACCAATACAGAGATGCAGGTTTGATCCCTGGTCGGGGAACTAAGATCCCATATCCTGTGTGGTACGGCCAAAAAAGTAAAAGAGAATGGATGTATGTTATTTACCATTTTATTCCTGGTTCCTAGCCCAGTGCTTGGTATACGGTAGGCGCTCAATAAATGTTTGTAAAATGAATGAGATAGATGGAAGGAAGATCTTCAACAGCGACAATAATGCTTATCTGCTAATTAAACCTAAATGTTTCAATCTTTCAGTTCCTCCTCTCCTAAGTGGAAATGACTTCCAAACAGCTGAGGAAGGCAGTGATGTGAAGTTGGTTTGCAATGTGAAATCCAACCCCCAGGCTCAAATGATGTGGTATAGAGACAGTGGCATCTTGAATTTAGAGAACCATCACCGAATCCAACAGACAAGCGAGTATCTTCAACTGTCGATCACCAAAGTCAAGAAATCTGACAATGGGACTTACAGCTGTATTGCCAGTTCACTGATAGAAACAAAGACCAAGGACTTTCACCTTATTGTCAAAGGTAGCTCTCCTGTTTATTTATTTACTGAAATATGGTTTATTTACAATACTATGTTAGTTTCAGGTGTAATGCATAGTGATTTAATATTTTTATAAATGATACTCCCTTTCACATTGTTACACCGAATATTATTATTATTTATTATATATTCTTTATATATAATTAAATGTATATTATTTCATGAATATTGCCACAGAACAATGGTTATATTTTCCTGTGTTGGACAATGTGTGTGTGTCCTTCATCCTGTCTGACTCTTATGCGACTCCATGGACTGTAGTACACCAGGCTCCTTTGTCCAGGATTTCCCTGGCAAGAATACTGAAGTGGGTTGCCATTTCCTCCTGCAGGGGATCTTCCCCACCCAGGGAGTCTCTGGCATCTCCTGCATTGGCAGGAGGATTCTTTACCACTGTGCCACCTGGGGCGCCCCTGTTGTACAATATACTTCGTTGTTTACACAGTTTGTATCTCATAATCCTATACCTCTATCTTGCTTCTCCATTCTTCCCTCTCCTCACTGGTATCCACTAGCCTGTTTTCTACATCTGTGAGTCTGTTTCTGTTTTGTTTTATACATTCACTTATTTTTATTCCACATATAAGAGGTAGCATACAGTATTTGTCTTTATCTGTCAAATGGACAGAGAGCATGATACTCTCTAGGTCCATCCACAAAGGTAACACTCTTTTTAAGTAATATCTATCATAGTACAAACAGCTTCCCTGGTGCCTCAGACAGTAAAGAATTTTCCTGCATTGCAGGAGATCCAGGTTCAATCCCTGGGCTGGAAAGATCCCCTGGAGGAGGGAATGGCTACCCACTCCAGTATTCTTGCCTGGAGAATTCCATGGACAGAGGAGCCTGGTACAGTCCATGGGGTTGGAAAGTGTTGGACACGACTGAGGTACTAACACTTTCACAGCACAATACAAAACTCAGATACTTGGTAAATATTTTTTTTGTGTGAGAACAAATAATGATGGCCATTATGATTAGTAGCTAGAATTTTCTTTGGAGAGTTATCTCCACCTCAGGAATTCTAGTCCTTTCTTTTAGGGGTATTATTCCTATTCCAGATAGGATACAGCTTTTTGAGCAAAGGCTTTTTTCTAGAATCAAGTAGTAGAAGATAGATCTGCTTGGTTTTCTGGAGGAGTATTTCCGTGAATTTTCCTGGGCAAGAAGCTTTGTAGGAATTGGACTTTTGAGTTAACAACTTAATAAGAAACAGGAGAGAAGTCATCAACACATAGAGAAAAAAAGATACTAACTAGTTAAGAAAATGGATCTGTGAAATCACTCCTAACTCTGAAATGTACCCTATAGGCCAATCAGAAGAGGGAGAGGGGGAGAATGGCGGGAAATGGGTTCTTTCTCTTGGCTTCATGCTTTCTCTACCCAGGTTTATGACCTCTGCGACAACAAGGAACAGATAAAGTGCCAAGTGTCTCACCGTCCTCATACTTCTCCTTCATACAGAAAGAGAAAGGCAAGATACCTGGTGGAGCAGGTGCATGTAATGCTCATGCACACATTTCCTGGTGTGGGGCCAGGATACTAGAAGCAGTCAAACAAATTGGGGCTCCTGTATCTTGATAGAACATGATTCTCTTTGTCACCTGCCTCCCTGTGCCCCCTCATTGTCTTTCTTGCCAGGCCTCAGGAAGCCAAATGAACCCCTGTTGGTCATGTAACAATAGGGATTCTTACCGGGCTACCAATAGAGTGGATGGTGAGGAGGAAGGGTTGCCAGTTGAATGCCCATCACTGTGATTACTGGTACGTTCAGTAATTTGTTCTGTGGAACAGTGACAGTATTCCCAGTGGCTATTTCCTTTAAAAACCAAACCCACAAACTCTTGATTAAAAAGGAATCATAATTGCTCCATGTCACATTAAACAGGCAGCTTGTGCAGCAAGCAGGATGCCAGCTTGGCAAATTAGTTTTCAGGTGGGCGGTATCCTGTTTTGGGTGGACCGCTTCCAAACCAACTGGCTTTTCTGATTTCTTGCTGCTTTATGGCTTCCCCGGCTGTCAGGTGCCCGAGGAGCAGAAGCGCTCCGCTGCTGGTGCCCAGGCGAAACGCCAGGTTTGCCATGAGCTCTTCTAACTTCATGGTTCAGTGGGGGTAGTTTCTAAATGAGGCCATGCAAAGTGGGAAATGACATCACAGATCTTTTCTTGAGCACAAGACTTTAGCCACATGTTGAGATTATTTTACCATAATGAATATGGGCGGGGCTGGGGAGGGGGAGAATACCAGATCTGGTTATAAATAAGAGAGTGAAGGGAAGAGATGCAGTTAAAGTTGCCAGACTCACTTTCAACAGAAACTTGGAATCTAGAGTGAGCCAGTGGGTCAGGCAGTTTGTTTCAGGTTTGTGTATGGAGTGAAATCTGTTATGTGTGGCTTCATGTCATTCAGCTTGGTAAAAATATTCCGATCGGTGGCTGATTTCTGATTTTTTTCCCCCAATTGCCCCTCCTTTGCCTCCCCTTCATTTTGACATCTTTCCTTGGCACTCACTACAACTACAGGGTGTCCCCCGTAAGAGGTCTTTTAGTGTATCCCAGGGCTGGCTGTTACAGAGTCAGCACTTTCAAAGAGTCCAGTTGAACAGAGCTTCTCCAGAGGGTTGATGCTACCATACCCTCATAAGGACAACTATTAGAAACAACCAAAAGGGAGCAAGAGCCAAAGATGCTTAATCTACTCTCCGAAATTATCCAGAGCCAGAACTAGACACATAGGAGGGAAGAAACTGATTAAAAGGTAAGTAGTAGGGCTTCCCTGGTGGCCCAGTAGTTAAAACTCCATGCTTCCTCTGCAGGGGGCATGGGTTGGATACCTGGTTGGGGAACTGAGATCCCATGTGCCTTGTGGCCAAAAAGTAAAATAAAATAAATAAATAAATAAGTTGGGCAAAGATATCTTTAAAATACTGTTTAAAAATTAAAAGTGTGTCATACAGTTATGAAGGGATAAACCCCATTGCATAACCTTGAGGTATATAAGGCTTAGACTTTGAAATTAATCTAAAATCTTCTCTTCCCCTTGTCTCTTCCTTTTATCCCTCATGTATTGTACTATCTCTTGACTCTTTGTCCTTTACAAATACAATCTCAATCTGTAGCTTTTGTTCCTTTAATGTCTGTCTCTCCTACTAGAATATGAGATCCTCAGAGACTGGATCCTTCCATGCCCGTTCTATTTTTTGCAGGTCTAACAGCAGCACCTAGTGCAGAGTCGTCATTTAGCAAAAATCTGTTGATGGCACTCACTGCACAAACTCAATTATACAGTAAATAGCACACTCTTTATTTCCTATAAATTTCAAAAATTTTATCATAGCCACGATTGGAGCCCTTCTCCCTCCTAAGGTGGGCATCAGAATTCAGGAGCTTAGACAGAGTCATTTAAATAGCTTTGCCAACCTTAAGCATTCTTGCGTTTGTAAGTTTCACCTCATATCATATCAACTATATTAAAATGAAGTAATAATTACACTTTTTTGCTCTAAAAATTTGAAAGGGCATTTAAAACTTGCATACATTTTGAATTTTATTATAAATTAGTTATTAATTTGGCTCTTGTGGTTTAAACATTATTATTATTTAACAGTTGGGTTATAGTTGAAGCAAAGTTACATTTTATAAATGCTTAAACATTTATTAAAGTCTTCCCAGGTGGCGCGGTGGTAAAGAATCGACCTGCCAGTGCAGGAGGCACAAGAGACATGGGTTCAATCCCTGGATGTATTCTTGCCTGGAAAATCCCATGGACAGAGGAGACTGGTGGGTTACAGTCCATGGAATCACGAAGCGTTGAACATGAGTGAGTGGCTGAGCAACTGAGCGGCTGAGCAACTGAGCACACACACATAGCACACGAATGTTTACTAGTTCTGATTAATTTTGCCACTTTATTTTCATACTTAGGAGCCAATACTTTCTTTTTCAGGTCTCAAATATTTCATAAGTTCTTGGAGAGTGTACAAACACAGGCACTGTACCTGTAATACAGAAGAGCTCTGAGTTTACCAGATGTTCAGAAAACAAAATAGGGAATGGGCTTTCACTTGTAGGCAGCTGGTGCCCTAGCTCTAGTTAAAAGTAGACTCTCTGTTCTTCCATATCATGTAATGTGTGTGAGTGTGTGCTTATTTAGTTGTGTCTGACTCTTTGCGACCCCATGGACTGTAGCCCATCAGGCTCCTCTGTCCATGGGATTCTCCAGGCAAAAATATGGAGTGGGTGGCCATTTCCTACTCCAGGGGATCTTACTGATCCAGGGATTGAACCCACACCTCTTGCATCTCCTGTATTAGCAGATGGATTCTTTACTACTGCACCACCCAGGAAACCCTAGAGAGAGAGTGAAAATCTTTGCCAAGATTGGGAAGGCTGATGCTCAGAGTTCTTCCCTAGGGGCACCGTGCAGCTCCCCTGTATAATGTCTTGTGTCCTGCTGGGGGCGCCATCACAGCACAGCTACAAGGGTCTTGTTGCTCCTGGGACCCACAGACCTCTCTCTCCTTAGTCCATCAGATTCCTTATCTTTCCTCTTCTTGCTCTTAAAACCTCCTCTCTCTCTTTCTCCCTTAACGACTTCTCACAATATCATTCGGGTTTTGCAAAAGACTGGAAAAAGCATTGATTTCAGCCTACCTCTGCTTTCTGCATGGCAAAAGTTATGGATCAAGCACAAAAAGATCTGACTTTGGGGGAGTTACTCATATTAATAATATGAATAATATAGATAATAAATTATATCCTTCCAAAAAGAAATGGATTCAAAACCTGTCTCTGCTAGTTACTAATTCTGTGATCTTGGATAAGCGTTCTAACCTCTCGAAGCCCCTGGTTCCTCGCCTGTACAAAAAAGATTATAATACATTTGGGAATTGTTTGGAAATTTAATTAAGAGGATGCAAAATGTTAAGTGCAAAGCACCGTGGCTGGAACATACTTGGAGTACATAAATTATAAGCATATAAATGTTACTTTCTTATTTCCTGTCTTTGCATTTCCAACAGATAAAGCCTCGACTGTACCAATAGAACCCATTATTGCTGCATGTGTTGTTGTCTTTCTGACCTTGGTCTTTGGACTGATTGCCAGAAGAAAAAGAATAATGAAGGTATCTGAGTAGTTTAAGCTATGTGTATGTGTGCTAAGTTGCTTCAGTCGTGTCCAACTCTTTGTGACCCCATGAACTGTAGCCCATCAGGCTTCTCCGTCTATGGGATTCTCCAGGCAAGAATATTGGAGTGGGTTGTAATACTCTCTTCCAGGGGAATCTTCCCATAAGGTCATCTAAATAAAGGCAAAGAACTGGTGATATAACTAACTACAGTGTCAGGAACCATACTTGAACAATCTGGTCTCTCTACCATGAGATCTCAATTGGAAGTGGCTCAAGGAAATAAAAGCTGTTCCTATATTAGGAATACAACTTTACAAAGGATAGAAGTGCATATGGACCAGACCCGACTGAAAATAGTTGCGGTGTTAAAAGTAGGGGCTGATTTTTCTCTCTTTAAAATTTCTCTTGATTGTTGTTATGGTGCCTTGGTACAAGAAATAAATATAGAGGCACATCAGCTCTGGATTCAGAGATCTGTGTGAAAAAGATGGCACTTGCTGCTCACCTCTTGGGCACAGCCACAGGCCCCGGCTGCAGTGCACTGCAGTTTGAATTGCTGAATGGTTAACTTGTTGGTTAGAGTGATGCAGAGTACGTGATGCAGAGTGCATAGGTTAAAGCTATGCCTTTGACTCCACCAGTCAATCCAGTCCCAAAGGAAGGCAAAGGTGGCAGAAAGTCTCTAAAAGGCCAGTGTGGAATTACATTTTCTTAAGTTAAATAAAAATAATAAATGTGATCAAAGAAATAAGACCTAGACCTGTGCAGAGTTGGCTGTTTTCCCAGCCACCTCTGCATTGGTGTGTACTTTTCTAGATAGAAGATTAACAGACATTTGGGTTTCCTGTCCCTTGAGCCACCTCGAGGCATTCAAAATGTTTACCCATTAGCCTCAGCACAGCAGCAAACTCATTGTCCCTTGTTGTGTTTGCTTTCAGCTCTGCAGAAAGGATCAAGGCCCCCAGTGCAGAACAGCTTTGTAAGTACTCCGGGCTGGGGTCAATGATTTTCCACAAGCAGATGGATAGCAGTCAGTAGTGTGCATCATAAAACCCATCGCGGGCAAACTCCTCCAGAGACAGGAGGTGCTAGAAGGTGAAGCGGTTCAGAGGAAGACGGGTGAGGCGAGGTTGGAAGGTTGCTTAGAATGGAGAACACCTTTGATCTTTTTGTTTGTTTTTCATTTTCCTTTTTTATTATTGGACTATAATTGCTTTACAATGTTGTGTTATTTTCTGCTATATAGTAAAGTGAACCAGCTATCCGCATACATACATCTCCTTCCTTCCTCCTGAGCCTCCCTGCTTTTGGTCTCAAGCCTACTCTCTCTTTAAGCAATTGCAGGCTAATGCATGTCCAACTGCCTTTTATTGCCATACGGTGCAAGCTTCCTAGAGAGTTTAGCTTGAGGGAAGCCACCGTTGCCTTCTCCTCCACAAGCAGGTCAGAAGCCACATTCCTCATCCAAAATACTGCCTTCTCTTTGGAGCTTCCTTTAGTCTGTTAGCTCCAGCATACCTGAGATAGGCAGTGGATAAAAAGAATGGAGGCATTCTTTCCAAGACTATGAATTTTCAAATTTTTAAAAAATCACTAAGATAATACATTTTCTAGAATTTTAGCAGTAATACTAGATGCCAAAATACAAGGAACTATATCAAAGTTTTGAGCAAATATAAATTAGAAATCTAGCATTCTATTCATCAAGAGTATGATTTTGTTTGATTTTTTTCTTTAGTGCTTATGATCATCCTGATGATTAATTTCTTGATTCATTTCAGATGAGAAAACTGAGGTGCCATCTATTACAGCAAGAGTTTTGCATCAGGACTGCCTTGATTTATGTAGTCCCATCTGTATTTATTGCTGTTATTAAATTCATTCCTGTCTAATTGTCAGAGGTTTTGAAGAAGTGTTTCATTAAGCACTTAGCAGTAATTGTTATGACTAATTTGATATACTTGGAGAACACTTTCAGGAAGAAAGCTGTTAAGACTGAAAAGTAAGATTTTTTTAAAGTCTTCTCCTTGAAGGATATGTTAATTAATTGAAATTTGTCCTGAAAAGTTTGGCAACCATTTGCATTTATTGTGTATTTTTCTAGGTAGGAGATTAACAGACATTTGGGTTTCACGAATCAGTACACTACCAAAAAAACACAGGAGCTGGGCACAACATAGAGGGATCAATTTCTCAAGTTACCAAGGAAACACATAACTAATATTAATTATATCTACCTTCACTGTCATTTCAAAAGAGAAATGTTCTAGGACTAAAAAAGGAATGATATAATCTCAGAATATAAGATATTCCTTTAAATGAAAGAATTCAGTATTATTAAAAAAAACTCAACATATGTCCTTATTTTTCTCATCTTATCATGGTTGACAGTCACAAACTTTGTGAAATTTATGTGGTGATGAAGATGAAAACAGCAAGGGAAAGGGGCTGGCCAGAATGTTTGCTTCCTTAGTATCCTTTGCCCTTTTTGCATAGATCCAGCAATATTTTTAATCAGCCTGTACTCTTCTCACATGTTGTTGTTGTTTAGTTGCTAAGTTATGTCTGACTCTTTTGCGACCCTATAGACTGTGACCCACCAGGCTCTTCTGTCCATAGGATTTCCTAGGCAAAAATATTGGAGTGGGTTGCCATTTCCTTCTCCAGGGGATCTTTCCACCCAAGGATCAAACCTGCTCTCCTGCTTGGCAGGAGGATTCTTTACCACTGAGCCACTTGAAAAGCCCCACTCTTCTCATATACCTCAGTTTAATTTATTTTTAAATTTGTGGCTGCATAGCACATGGGATCTTACCACAGACTGAACCCACACCCCCTGCAATGGAAGCACAGAGTCTTGACCACTGACCACCAGGGAAGTCCCTATCTCAGTTTAAAATTTCAGCTCTCATCATTTATCACTGACTTTCCCCACTTCCCTTCTCTCTTCATTTTTTTCCCCTTAAGCATCTCTGCTTCACTTTCCTACACAACTGGGGTGGGTTATGGGGAGAGGTAGGGCTTCCCATGTAGTGCTAGTGGTAAAGATCCTGCCAGGCAATGCAGGAGACATTAGAGACACGAATTCAATCCCTGAGCCTGGAAGATCCCCTGGAGGAGGGATTGGCTACCCACTCCAGTATTCTGGCCTGGAGAATCCCATGGACAAAGGAGCCTGGTGGGCTATAGTCCATAGAGTTGCAAAGAATAGGAGACGACTGAAGTGACGTAGTGCACACGCACGTGGTGAAAGCCAGCCCCCTTACCAGAAGCACCCTTGAGGTCTCTGCTGTGTTCTCACTCTAACTTAGAAAAAACTATTTTGTCTAACATTGCAGTAGCTAAATGTGCCACAGTGAAAGAGAGAGCTTCTGTCAGACGGTGATTAAAAGCCCCTTTATTGACATAGAAGTAAGGAGAAGAAATGAGCAGAATGTATGAAATCTTCACAGTCTTGTTTCTAAGAAGAATAGATACATCCTCCTGTTAAGCTCCTCTTTGCTTCCTTGGAAACGTCAGCATGAGATGGGGAGAGAGACAGACACTGTTAAAGACTGTGGTACACAGATTTCTCTTGGAGGGCGCAGTAGGTTTTGTGGGGAGGCCTTCATTCAGGATTTCTCAAACTAGAATTTGGAAGCCCTGTGAAAATGCTGTAAGGATAAGTTAGGAGCATTGTGAAAAGTTGCAAGATTAAAGACTGGGCCTTTGGAAAAGGAGGAAGTTGGATTAAGAGGAGAATTGAAATTAATTTTCATCTGAGCTTGAAAATTCTGCAATCCTCAAAAGATACATAGTTTAGTTAAATGTTTAAGGGAGTTAGTAAGACTGAGAATGTAATAGCTTTGCCCCACCTAGTAGATTTATGAATCAGCTTTGTACTAGGACATATAACAATCCTTGAGAGCTACAGGTCAACAAGAAAGAGTTTCTTCACCCTTATTAAATACAGTGACCTTGTACATTAGCACAGACAGGGAACCTTAACTAGTTTTAACAGAGCACAGCAATATTACAAATGGCCATTGCTTCTCATTTTGCCTTACACTTTGGAGAAACACAGAGGTTGTATTAAACCTATGTGTATTATTTACAATTAAAATTTAGCCTAGAGCCTGTCTTAGAAAGACATGAATTTCTAGGACTCAGCAGAAACCCCATATGTAAATAAACTATACTTCAATTTAAAAAAAAATTTTTAAGGAAAAAAGTCCTGTAAGTTTTCCCCAGTGTTTTCTCTACCTACTATGAGATTCCTGAAATTCCAATTCCTCATCTGATTTTAATCCTTTCAACTACAAGCATCAGTGGAGAAGTGGCAGAAAAATCCAGTCGTTCTCTTCTTAACTTTTTTATTAATAAGGACACCTTTCATAATTATTTGTGTTTTTGGCCCCATGTTTTGAAAGAACTGGCCTATCAAACAAATTTTATTTATTAAATAATAGTCATCTGTTTTCCCAATTTAAAAACCATTTATCAATGATATCTATTTGTCAGTCTGAGCTTCTTTTACAGCAACACAATTACCCAGTTGATGTAATTCCATTTAAAAGAAAATAAATCCCATACTATCATTAACTTCTGCAGCCTTTTAGAGGTTAACAATATAATCATTGCAATTAGGCTTTCTGAATCATTGAAAATAGCTTACAACTATTACCAAATAGCTAGCAAACTTCACCTTTGTCATCACCATGTTTGTGACTACTTTCCTGAACCTTTAAGCCAGGGGTCATAAAGTCAAATTCTTGCAGGGGTCAAGCTGATTAATGGGTGAAGCAGGCTAGATGTAAAACAATAGGGAGTGGTGGAGACCGTGGCAAATAGCACGTCTATATGTAAAAGAAGGCTAATCATCACCACTGGGGACAGATCTTTTTCTTTAAGAGAAGTTAGAAATCTGGATTTTTGTGTGTAATTCTACTAATTTAAAAAGCTTTTTTATGGAGAAGGAAATGGCAAACCACTCCAGTATTCTTGCTTGGGAAATCTCATGGACAGAGAAACCTGGCAGGCTGCAGTCCACAGGGTCGCAAAAGGTTCAGACATGAATCCATGACTAAACAACAACAATAATTCACCTGGAAAGGGGCACAATTCTTGAGGCACTATCCCTTTGTGTTCCCCCTTTGCCTGGCAAAGAAATAAAGCCACTCTTTCCTTGTTCTCCAAAAAAATAAAAAGTAAAAAAAATAAAAAGCTTTTTTAAAAATCATGCATGTCTAAGAGTAGAAGAATCCTCTCACCTCAATATATGTCACTCTCTGCTAGTGAAGTTATTACAACCTGGTATTGATTGGGTTTTCATGGTCTTATGGAGATTCTTGTGAAACATCTCTCATAAATTTGACTTGTAGCATGCTAGCCCCCAAAGCTCAAGCATGATTCCAAAGAACCAAGTCAGAGGATGGTTAGATATTTGTGGAGTAAATTAGCCAAGATGGCATGTTCAGTCTCTCTCACCTCACCTTTTGTAAATAATGACTATGTAACAGTTGAGCTCATTTGTAGCACTGTGCATGAGCCTCATGAAGTACTCGCTTGGCCGTGGGCTACTTTTGTTCTGCAAACATATATAAGCACCATCTGAGAAGGCTTTGAGGCATTGAGGTTATGCTGTGCTATGATTGTGTCATGGTCATGTTATGCAGCTACTCCTGCATCAAGTCTGTGTCCATTGGGTCAGCCACGAGAGGAGAGAGGTTGTGGTGTGGCTGTTGTGGCAGCCAGGAAAGAATAAGCATGTCTGCAGTTCCTACAGGCTTCCCTGATAGCTCAGTTGGTAAAGAATCCACCTGCAATGCAGGAGACCCCGGTTCGATTCCTGAGTCAGGAAGATCTGCTAGAGAAGAGATAAGCTACCCTCTCCAGTATTCTTGGGCTTCCCTTGTGGCTCAGCTGGTAAAGAATCCACCTGCAATGCAGGAGACCTGGGTTGGGAAGTTACCCTGGAGAAGGGAATGGCAGTCCACTCCAGTAT